GACAGAACATTTTGGCATTAGATTATGACATCCATTTTCGCTCAACGAACTCTAAAACTTTCGCAAAGGTGCCTTCGGCGCCAAATTATAGTAACTTGAGTAAATTTTAGTAAATTATAGGAGCGCGCTGAAAAACGCATTTTTATGGTCAAAAATTTCCAAAAGGTACCCAAAAATGGTATTTTTTACCTTTTTTCAATAATTCGCCAGCGATGCAAAATTGTTTGTCAAAATAGGGTCTTTTATACTGATTTGGGAGAGCTCGGAAAATTAATATGGAAAATTTCTCTGCGACGAATTGTCGCTTTTTCAAATGATACGAATTGTTGCCTCACGCAATTTTACCTCAGTTTTGGCAAGAGGTTTTTAATACCAATTATTTTTCAAAAAGAATCCTGGTTTTATCCAAACATACCAAGAATGAGGACCAACACGCTCAACTTATGAACTCATTGTGTCGCTATTTACGCTCATCTAGTCACATTTTTCTAAGAGTTGGTCTTATTTGTTGCAGAATTGTCTAAGTTAGCCCAACTGTTCGAAAGTCAGCTCCGGCGTTTTCGACCTCGCGGGAATAAGAAGTGAAGAAATGTCTGTACATTTTTTGCGCCTCAACTTCTTTGCAAAGAAACTATCATTTAAAGTAAAGGTTTGAATTAATCATCTTAGTTTGAACACAAAATGTTTTCTTTTGAAATTATTCTTTTTTTTACCGAAAAATAAATGCTGGATTGCTATGATTGTTGAACTATAGATAAATACAAGCAAATACAGGCAACTTCTGTGAATTTCATGTTTGACCTATGACTCTTTTGTCAAAATGAGCATTTCTTGCTGATTCGGAAATTTTCGCGAAGTTCCAACTGAACGTTTTGCTAATAAAGTCATATATGCAATCCGAATTAATTTTGTTACACCTTTGCCTCTGAGTTCAAGATCGCTAATGACTATGAATACGCATTAGGACATTAAATAGACTCGAACGAGCTCACAACAACCATTTGATTATTATTGACATGACTGGCCAAAAAGGGTCAGCAGAAAATATATGTGAACTATTTCCAGCCTCGTCTTCCAAAGCCTCTCGCAATTTAGTTTCATTTTTCCAAATTTCCTCCAAAACACTTGTAGTGGAGACTCCGGTGTTAGTTCCCTGTAAGGTGTTGTTAGGCCCCCCTCCCCCATTCAACTGTGAATTGACACAGTCGACTATCACTTCTCCAAGGCAATCTTTCGTTCCTTCAAATAGTTCCATAGTATTTTGCCTTATATCTTCGTTCTCCTGATTACAAAAAAGTTCACCAAAATTCTACTTTAGCAAAATTTTTGTTCTAATATGCACTATTTCACTCAGATATCTGAAACATATAACCAAGAGACAGTTGGAAAAGAGTCACTGAACGCGAGAAAACAGGAAAAAGCAAAGGCTAAGAAGCAGAAAAGGGCAGCATACAGAGGCTAAGCTGCACTTCGCAAAATGAGTAGAAATACCTCAAAAAAGCCTTGAAAACTCAAGAAACCCAGTAAACCGACAATTGCAAGAGTCAATGAACGCAAGCAAAAAATTATGATTGACATACTTAAAATATAATTAAACCATTTCGAGAAAACTAGATCAATAATTAACTTTTTTATTCCACCGGGAAATCTGAAAATTAAAATCCACTTTCAAAACTAGAAGAGTATGTTTTTGCTCTTTCACACATGTTCTTTCACGACAAGGCATGAATGAAAAAAAAATCATTTGCATAGTTTCGCGCACTTTTCCGGGCTCTAACAATTTTCCGGAATCTTTTCCCAAAAATGTAGTTGAAGATGGCCTTGGGCAAAAGAGCCGCCATCGGGCACTTCGTGCCCTCAGGATGGGCTTTTTCCCTCGGGCATCTTTTAACTATGTTCTAACTACTACGAAATTGATCAAGTATTTCTTGACTTTTAATCTTTCCCTTTATCAAAGGAAATTAACTGAAAATAAAAATAAATCAAAAATCAAACCACGCAAATCCAAAATTAAGCCTGAACAAATTTTACCTCAACGGCATACAAACTTGCATGACTAGCACTTTTTTGATGGTGACTAGCACTTTTTGAAGTACTTTTGAAATTTACCCAAAAAATTCTTTTGGTTTTTTAATCTCAAAACGAAGTTTGCACCCAAGCAAACAGTTTCTAAAGCAAATGATGGCATGCAAAAAAAAAATTTTGCACATAGCGTAGACCTAGATACACAAAATTTGAGTTTTTTTCTTCTGTTTCTCCATACAATTTTCTTAAAAAATTTTCAAAAGTCCCATTTTTTTTGTATGGCAAGTTTATGTATGCCTTCATCAATGTCTGATTACCTTTAAACTCAGATTTTAGCAATGATCATCAAGTCAAAAATCAAAAACTTGATACTGCAAAGAAAGATTTCAGAGAAAAGTATAAGTAAATTTCCAAAAACAACACAACGAAGACGATTAATCATTAAATTTCCGACAAAGGTCGAACCCATATTTGGTGAAAGGCTAACAAGCCGAGAGAACCAGCTAAAAAAAGAGAATTGTAGTGTCTTCTTTTTGGTGTTTTTTAGCTAACTAACTCCAATTGCCTTCAACGTTTTCTGCAGGCAAAAGAACTTCAGAGAAGTGTTGGCCTCAAACTCTGTGATAGAAAAAAGGGAACAAACAAATGAGGTTTAGTTACATCTTGTTTGTGTTGCTGCTATTGGTAGCTATATAGTAAGACAACAAGCCAAAGGGCCAATGAACTGAAAATCATATTACTACTTCATCAAGCCAAAAATAAGTATTGTTATGCAACGTAACAACATAATGTTATGGTTGTTGTGTAATTTTTATATAATTCTGATGTTATTTCGGCTTCCAGATACGAAAGATTGTATAAGAGTAGTCCCATTTTATGAAACTCAAAATCAAAACAAAGCCGTAATTGAATGAGTTAACTATCATCTCAGTTTTTGACCTCTGTTGTGTAGCTATCCAATTTTATTTTATTTTGAAAAAAATTGATGGCAAGCCCAAAAAAACTGGTCTCATTCGATAAAATAATTAAAGTTCAAGCTATCTTTTGAATTTTTTCTTCATTTTTACAAACTTTTGACTCTAAGCAAGAGATAACCAGGTTGACCTCCATAAACCGAAAATGCCAATCATACAAATCCACCAAATAAGTCTACGAAATAAAAATTACAATTCAAATTTCATATGTTTGGCTAAAATGGTGTCATCGAATTTTGAAAGAATTCTTTTGTTTTGACTCGAAGCTCGGTGTATCGTAGAAAATAAAAAAGAAGAATTGTTTTTCACAAAAAGCTAATCTTATGGAAATTATGTTATTGGTATTTTTGGTTTATGGAATTCATCTTGGTTATTTCTGTCTTGGTGTCAAAAAAATGAAAAACGTGTAGAAAAAAATTTCGAATGATAGCTTGAAATTTGAGTTTTTTAAAGAATGAGACCAATTTTTGAGCTTTGTATCATAAATTGATGAAAACTAATAAACTAATAAACTTGGAAAGATACACAACAGAGGGAAAAAACTGAGATGATAGTTACTTCAACGGACATACGGAAATTGTATGACTAGCACTTTTTCGAAGTATATTCGAAATCACCCTAAATTTTTATTTTGTTTTTTTTTAACCGCAAAACAAATTTTGAACTCAAGCTAACAGTTTCCGAAACCAATGATCGCATGCATAAAATTTTCGTGTGCATAAAGTAGTCCTGGCCTGGATGCACAAAAATTGAATTTTTTTCTGTTTTTCTACATAAGTTTTTTCAAAACGTCTCAAAACTCCTATTTCTTTTGTATGGCATGATTGTGTATGCCTTGATCAATGTTTTCTGGCTAACTAAAATTTCAGATTTTAACAATGATCATCTTCAATAGTAATCTTGTGAAAAAACAAAAGTTTGATGCTTCACAGAAAGATTTCAGGGAAAAGTAGCATTAAGTTTCCAAAATCAACAAAAAGAAGAGGCTTAACCATTAAAATTTTGAACTTTTCCGTCAAAAGTTGGAGCCATTTTTTGTGGAAGGCCAACAAGCCGAGATAATAAACCAAGAAAAGAGACTTGATATGTCTTGTTTTTGGTGTCTTTCGGTTACCTAATTCCAGTTGTCATCAAAGTTTTCTGCAGGCAAAAGACCTTTAGAGAACTGTTCGCCTCAAACTCTGGGATTTTTAAAAATAAGTAACAAACAACTGAGACTTAGTTATATCTTGTTTGTGTTGCTGCTATTGCTAGCTACGTAGTAAGACAACAAGCCAAAGAGCCCATGAACCGAAAACCATATCACTATTTCATCAAGCCAAAAATTAGTATTGTTATGTAACATAACAACAAAATATAATGGTTGTTATGTAATTGTTAGATAATTCTAATGTTATTTCGGCTTCCAGATACGGCAGTTTGTTGAAGATTAGTCCCATTTTCATGAAACTTATTTTCAAAACAATACCGTAATTGAAGGAGGTAACTATCTTCTCTGTGTTTGCCCTCTGTTTTTTTTCTATCCATTTTTTTTTAGTTTTCATCAAAAAAAGATATGAAAACAAAAAAACTGGTCTCGTTCAAAAAAATATTCATATTTCAAGCTACCCTTCGAAATTTTTTTCTTCACTGTGACAAATTTTCTAAGCAAAAGATACCCGGGTTGACCTCCAGAGACTAAAAATGCCAATCATACAATTCCACAAAATAAGTCTACGAAAAAAAAATCATTCAAATTTCATAAGTTTGGCTAAAATGTTATCATCAAATTTTGAAAGAATTCTTTTGTTTTGGCTTGCAG